AAGAGTGTGTGTATGGGAGGTGGGGGGTGAGTTCTGTTGTTACCAAAGTCTTGTCTGCACCCCAGAAACATTGATTCTACTGGCCCAGAAGAATGAATCTCCCACGCCTTATTGCAGGTGCAGTTATGCCAGGAGAAGGGTGCTTATGCAGGAGGGCCAGACTCAGGTCAGAGGATCCCCATCAGGACAACCCAGTTAAACCACATAAGCTCTGAAGCCAGCAGCACGTGAGGCCATGAGGTGGCTATCTGTCCTGTCCAATTACCTTTGAGGCCCATAAGGCTGGGACCTGAATGACCAGGTGTCCACTTAGGTCTCCTGGAGCTGTATAGGAAGGGGATCACGCTTCTTGTACAGTGCACATTCAAACTAGCATACATGCTTCCTTGCAAGGGGTCAGATTGGTTTTGGTATCTCAGTAGAACCTGCATTGTCACAAACCCCATGTGTAAAGCAGACCCCCGGATTTGCTTGTTTTACACAACTTAGCTGCAGTGTGCCTGTGAGGACCATAAAGTATTGAGCCTAGTTGAAATTCAAGTCCAGTTTTATTTTTACTTCCTTGCTAAGCTGAAGAATTGTTTTTTCTCTACCTATCTGGTCTCCAGCACATGAGCACCTCACAGTCTTTAATGCATTTACCATCACAGTTTCCCTGCGACATATGGCAATGGCATTCCCTGCCATTGTACAGATGGGGAGCTGAGGCACAGGAAGGCTAAGTGACTTGCCTAAGTTCACACAGGAAGTCAGTGGCATGACCAGAAATTCAGCTTAAAGCCCAAGCTAGTGTCTTCACCAACAAAACCATAATTCCTCAGTGGGATTTATAATATCTGAAGGCTGTCATAGAAAAAAATAGGGAAAGCAACTTCCTTGCCACTTAGGGCCAAATATGAAGCAACGGGTTTAAAGTGCAATAAAGTAGATTTAGCTTAAATCTCAGAATTTCCTGCCTGTTCGATTAGGAGGGCAGTGGAGCAAGCTGTGGAAGGGAATTGTAACATCTCTTATACCAAAGCTTTTCAAAAAGAGACTGCATGTGCGTCTAGCTGGGATGATATAGGAACAGCCTGTCCTGCCTTTGTGCAGGAGTTTGAGCTAGATGATGTTTGAGGTCCCATTCATCCTGATGGTTCTGTGGACCTCTGCCATTTGTTGTTGGTATTTCACAAACAAAAGGGTGTGGAAGCAGCACATTTTAGTCCTGCATTAGCCACATATGTATTTTTTTCCATAAGCAGTTTGATCCTGCTACACCAAAGTCAATGAAATTGTGCCACTGACTTAAATGAGAGTAGGATCAGAAGAAAGGCAGAAACAAAATGGAGCAGTTAGACATCATGGGGATGTACATTCCTCAGAAATCACACTGCCTGTCAGGAACATGCACAGCAGCCTTATCAAACTTTACTTTGACTGAGTTTGTAAACCTGACTGAACCTCTCTGGTTAAAAGGTTCTTCCTGGCACCCATGGTACTTGACTTCTGCACTGTCTGTTTGCATTTAATTCAGTAATGAGTCTTGGTTTTGCAGCATCTGTAATTATAGTACAACTGTCTTGGACATGTATCCTCAGGATAGTTTTTACATTGAGTTCTTGCATCCATAATGGAAAGTGTTTTCTAAAAATGAAGGAAAGTCCCAGGCACAAAATTATATGCAGGCTGTAAATAAGGATGAATTAATTCAACCAGTTGTCATTTTTTGGTAGTTATTTAACCAAATAAATTGTAAATCAAGTGATTCTGCAGTAAGTCAAGTGGGCAGTATTCCACTAAGAGCCATAACTCTGACCTCTTACTAGTGCCCATCTTCTTCCTGGCCCCACCTTCTACCGTAAAATACTATATCACATTCTCACTTAAGCTTGATCCACCTTCCTACAAGCTACCCTAATATTGTCCATGGTGATATGTCACCGGTTCAGTGACGTATTTTAGCATGTACATGTACAAAGAACCAGAGCCCATGGGATTTCTGTCATGCTGGACTCCTATGATCTAGGTCCATAGTAGATTCCAGAAATCCTGTTAACTAATGTTCTGTAGATACATTCTCGCATCTTTTCCTCTCTCACTTCAACATTACACATCTAAAATGGCAGCCCACATTTCCTCTACTTCCATTCAGCTCCCTATTGAAGGTGAGACACCTCTCTGCTCCTCTCTTCCTCCAGGTTAGAGACCATGCAGTCACAGGTAGCTGTGGCCTAACTGATCTATGAAATGCGGGTGTATCTGAATGCTGTCACCTATAGTTTGGTTAGCTGGGGTTGCACCTTTGAGCCTGTTTCAACAAATATGATTACTGAAAATAGCAGACAAGTAGTTGCATTTGGGGGTGAAGGCAAAAGCAGGGGGTCAGAAGAACTTGTAATACCTCTTCCCTCCTGCAAAATTTATGCTGAGTGGAGTGCATCATAGATCTGTCACTGCCAGGCAAGCAGAATCCAGTCAGAAGTGGGCAGCTTGACAGAGAGAAGGGGTCAGAGTTAAGGTTTTTTGGGAAAACAGTGGCTGAACATTTCCTGATATTTACAAGTTGTTTCTGGAAGTGTATTATTCCCTAGAGACTCATGGTGAGACTGATGTTACGTTGTGCCAGATGCAGTATAGATGCCTTGTCCACATACCCATCTCCCAATGGTTTGGATCAATTTAGGTAAACCAAAAGCAACTTTTAGGGGTGACCTCTCACTTGTTGGCCTAGAACAGGCTACGTCAGATCAGATTGCACTTGTAAATTTCCTGACATGAACTAAACTGCCATGAAACTATGCTGACAGAAAAGGGTTACATGGGTTCAGCTTCATTAGTATAAAATCTGCCATTCACATAAGATGGTTAATCTTAGGGAAGATTTTTTTTTCCATTTTAGGCACCCAAATTGCACTTACCCAGGCACATAACTGCCACTTTTGACACGTGTGAATGGTTTATAACCCTGCTTCATGTGCAGCCTGGACGTACAAGCACCCACATGCCTGCTAGGCCTGTGCAGCAGGCTGTGTATTGCCTGGGCAGGTACTCTGCTTCATATGTGCATATGCTGAACAAGTGTAGGGCATAGACTTCTACCTGGCAAAAGCCTGTGACTTGCAGGTGTCAGACACTGGAAGAGAAGGATCCTGCTCTATTTTAGCCCCAACAGCTGAGTGGTTAGGGAGGAAGCATAAAAGCCAAATCTGCCCCCCCCTCAGTTTCTTAGTACAGAGGGGGTTTAATCTTTTATCTTTCCATTTTCCCACCACAGTGCTCCTACTACCAGACCACAGATTAGGCATTTTCCAGCTACCGTCTCCAGCTGTCTCTGAAGCTGTTTGCCTGAGCAACCAAGGGAGAAAAACCATGGTCAGGAGTTTATGTAGTTCAGTAAGGTGGCTGCAGCCCTGAATAGGAGCAAGTTCTGCATTCTGGCCTGTCCCCTTTGCTTCCCAGTGGGGTAGAAACTCTCCCACTGTTTTCTCTCTGTTTTATTTAGTAATTAGTGCATGCTGGGTGCAGGGGCTCTTGTTTCAAGAGGAGGGCTAGAAAGGGGCCTGAATAATGCTTGATCTGTTACCTTGTGGTTAGTACATTGTGCTGGTAAGTCGGAGATGCAGGATCAAACCCTCTGAAACAGGGGAGAATGAGTGTGACAGAATCTGGATTTTTGGACAAGTGTCCTAACTACTCAGCTATTGGGGTAAAGTATGAATGGGGTCTCCTCAGTTTTTTGGGCATCAGGCTTAAATATGTGTATACAGAGCTGCCCAGCCAGAGGGATACCCACTACATGTGCTTGGTATCTGTATGGAACCTACATATCCACAGTACAGAGGAATAGCACTGCAAACTGCATTATGTGCCAAAAATGCCACTTAGGCGACTAGACAGTGGCTGTTTGGGTGTGTACATTGAATTAGGATTCTATCCTTAGTGTGTTGATCAGCTGCAGGAATCAAAATCCTGTTACAAAATCTGTCTTTGAGTTCTGTGTGTGACTTGGACAGTAATTTAGTCTGGGATTGGGGTTCCTCAGTGTTCCTTCAGTTCAATTAATGATCTAAGGCTGCTGTTTTCATAAGATGACAAAAGTTTTAAGTGCACGAGCATCACTGCAAATCCTGCATTAAACTTGCATTCTGGGAGTGCTGAAGCATAACCAGCACTGTCACTGTATCCAGGTCCAGTGACTTAACTTCCGCACTGTTCTTTCCTCTTTACTGTGATGCCAGTGTGTAGTAAGGTTGTTTCTAGGTAATTTCTATCTCCTAATCTTAGTGCTGGTATCTTTACTGCACAGAACAGGGCCTGGGGGAGAGGGGCAGAAGCACCTGGTGGTTGTGTCATGCTTTGGGAAGAAAGGGAGGTACGTTTTGGTCCTCCTATGGTCCCCCAAGCTCACCGTGTCCCATGGACACCATCAAAGTCCAGAGTTCAAGGGAAGGGGGCAGGGGAGATGCCACCAACCTCTCACCATCTCTCTCTCCCTCCCTGTAGGGACCATCCGCCCAGTGCGACGCAGCTACTATGACCCATCCTCTGCACCAGGCAAGGGCGTGGTATGGGAGTGGGAGAACGACAGTGGGTCGTGGACACCCTATGACATGGAGGTGGGCATCACCATCCAGCATGCCTATGAAAAACAGCACCCATGGATTGACCTCACCTCCATTGGCTTCTGCTATGTCATTGATTTTGCCACCATGGGCCAGATCAACCGCCAGACCCAGCGGAAGCGGCGCATCCGCCGGCGCCTCGACATGGTTTACCCACTTGTCACGGGCACCCTGCCCAAGTCCCAGTCCTGGCCAGCCAGCCCTGGAGTGGCCAGGTTGCCCCCAGCACCATCCTGCACCTGTCCCCAGTGCTTACTGGTCATGAGCGTCAAGGCTGCAGTTTCAGCTGGGACCAATGGAAGCACTGGCACCACCCCCCCACAGCAGCAGCAACAGCAGCAGCAGCAACAACAGCAGCAGCAGCGTAAAGCCTCTGCCCCACCTGGTGGAGCCAAGCCGCCTTCCCTGATGCCTGGGAACAAGCCCCTGGATGGCACAGCCACAATGCGTGGCTCACTGAAGACCCTGGCATCACAAGTGAGCCGGAGACAGGCAGCCAGCACACCGGCCCTGAGCTCAGCTGGCTCACCTGCCAGCCCACCGAGTGCCAATGGGAAAGCCTCCCGTGCCAGCCTCAACACCTTGAACCGCACCCACCTGCAGCGCCTAGCCATTGCACAGTCCCGTGTGCTGATTGCTTCTGGGTGAGTGCCACTCTGCTCCTGCAACACCTGAAAAAAGTCACGGGGAGGGAGCCAGGGGATAGCTTAAGCTCAGGATGCCCTCATCCCAAAAGACCCACTTCCCATGGCTGCCACTCAGAACTTCATGTTAGCCAGGGATCAGTGGAGTTGGCCAGTGAGACCAAACTCCTGCTAAACCCTTTAGTGTTGACACAACCAGGCTAGAGTAGGGGTGATGGTGAGGCAGCTTGCTTCTGGAACCTCATCCTGGGTTTTCTTGTCCTGTCACTGATCTGAGAATGGTCTCCTAAGTTTCTCTGTCTGACCTTTGCGACAGCATTAAATTAAAACTAAAGAGCCACTCTAGCAAGCTATGAGCCTGCATTAGGAAGGACACCAGGTTAGGGTTATAACCAGTGTCCCTGGTTGGCCTCTGGTCAACCAGGGACACTGCCCCCATGTGAATCAGTGCTTGTGCAGGAAGATCGGGTCAGTCCTTTGTCATTGTCCATTCAGAACCAAGCCACTGCTTTGATTTTTCCAGGTGCGTTTGCTGTGGTATCACTGTAGTGCTAAGGGGCCTTGGACAACAGGCTGATAAAGAAGCTGAGGAGTCTCCCTAGGCTGGGAGGCTAAGTATCATCCAGGGTCAAAAGGACATAAAAAGCAAAGAGTTGGGTGGGCAGTCTGTCTGCATCATGGCAGAAGGTGAATGGTGAGAACCTCAAGACACTGGGGCCTGCATTATTTAAAATAGTTATCAAAGCATTTGAGCAGGGAAGTAACAAAGTGTGCAGATGACACAAAGTTATGAAGGTGGGTCAGGAGCAGTGAGGAATAGGGAGGGTCTTAGCAGGGGACCTAAGAAGGTTGCAGGAAGGGCCTCCACAAGGAGACAAATTATTTTTGTTGTCAATAAATGCAAAGTCTTGCACCTTGGAGGGGAAACACTGAACTATGACTAGACCTTGCAGGAGCTGACACAAACTTGCAGCTCAAGGTAGAGACTTGGGCATCGCTGCAGACATGTCAGTTGAGATCTCTGCTCAGGGTGCAGCTGCAGTCAACAAAGCAAACTGATTGTTGGGTTGTGTACAACATGGGGCAGAGACGAAGGCAAAAGGGAGTCCTGATCTCTTTCTGTCACGCTCGCTGAAGCCTCACCTGGACCGTGGATGCAGTGTTGGGCACCCTGGGTTCATGCTGAGGGGGCAGTATGATGGTGCGGTTCAGAGGGGCATGAATCAGGTCTGGGAAAGCTCTGACAGAGAGAAGTTGAGAAGACGGGCTGATATCATGTGGAGGCAGATTATCCCATGGCTATTACACCTTCTAATGCAGCAGAGATAGAAGACTTCCCTGGAAGGACCTGGGGACCCGGGTCCAGTGCATAGGGTGGTGGAGTTCATGCTGGGTCCAGAGCACGTCAGCCCTTCCCAGGACTCAGACCATAAATACTCAGGAGCTTCACTATGCCTGGGTTGGTGATTTCCAAGCAGCCCTGTTTTAGCTGCAATCGGTGAAACAAGTGCAGAGGGCCAGATTCCCCAGCTGGTATAAGCCAGCCATACCTCCATTAACCTCTACCAATTCACACCAGCTCAGGATCAAGCCCGTGTTGTTTGTGGTCAAGGAACTTGAGTCCCCTGTCCCCGGGGCCTGTGTAGCACAGACCTACAGCAGGGTGGAAAGTCCCCACAGAAGCAGTAAAGCCCCTCATAACTGTAGCTCCCCCTGTGCGGCCCCTCAGTGTCCCTCCCCCATCTCAGCAAACACCAGAGACCCCTTTTGCCATAAAAAGGGGGAGGCCCATGATCCCTGTTTGAATCCTAATGAGGCCGAGGGACATTCTTTAGCTCTCCTCAGTGGAGGATGGGGAGTGGTCACATCAAAAGGCCTATAGAAAGCTTTTCGTCCCTGGGCTGGGTGAGAAGGGATCCCCCCCACTCTGCACACAGGCCCCTTTCTCGGCCATTTAATTAGCGTGTTTCTGCCTCTTTGTCTGGCTTTGCCATCGGCCTTCTGTCACCGTTCACCCCCTTTTCTCCCTCTCCTCGTCTCCCCCAGGCCCATGACCCCTCCGGGAAGCTTTCCCATGGAAGCGGGTGAGGGAGGAAGCAGCCGTGGAGACGTCCCCAGCAACAAAAGGGGGTTGTGAATAGTTTGGAGACACAAGCAGGGTTTCAAAAGAGTGAGAGAAAAGGGGGGAGCGGGGATCGTGGGGAGCTGTCGCTAGATTAGAGAATTCTCTGTCTCCAGCCAGGCCTCGGTCTGTCGCTACGGCAACTATTGTCCAGCTAGCTGTGCCTAGCTGGCCCTCCACCTTTCATGTTGCTGTGGTGCCACCCCCAGGAATGAAATCAATTCCTTGTCTGTAAGCTATGGCAGAAGCCCAGCTAGGGAACAGCACCCTCTGGCATGCCCTTGAGTGGGTGTCCAGGCATACCATGCCCCAGTGTCTCACTAGCCACCCCAGAGGCTTGGCTGGTATTGCACACTCAAGTTTAGCCCCCTCTCAACCAGTCTCCTATGCATGTGTGTATGATCATCCTGGCGTCCCAGGGTGGGCTTGGGTCACCTGATTGTGAGTGTTGCCTAGTCCTGCTTCCGCTTTTTAAAAGGCCAACAGATGGTGAGCCATGTGTACAAAGGATGCCCAGGCCATGTCCTCTCTGTGATGTTAGAGGGAACTTCAGCAACAGGAAAAGAGGGTGCAAGTGTGTATCTCTCTCCATGCAGGCTCAGTTTAGCCCCTGGAGAGAAGAGATTGTGCTCACCAGTCAAACACCCCGTGTAGCTTCCCGATCTTGACATGGTTGGTATCAGGATGCAGACATAGAATGCTGGAGAGGCTGTCTGGAGAGGGCTCGCTGTGCAGTTTGGGTCGTGTCCAGGATTACCCTTTTGGTCTCTGCAGCACCATCTTTGACTCGCTCTGTCCATCTGGGTAACATGAGGCTATTGTCCAGCTAGGCAGCAGTGGGGTTGACCCAAGCTCTTGCCGTGATCAGGCCTCAAGTGGGTGCTGCAGCTGCACTGCTAGATCAAGGGGTTTCTTGTTGTTTCTAATCAAGTAGTTCAAACCCTAGAACGGAGTTCATTGAAGAGGGTGAGTAGCATGTTAAAATCCCATTGTCCTGACTACTCTTTTACTTCCCTCTGCCTGAATGTGCTGATTGCTGCCTGCAAAAGAGCTGCCAGCACTGAAACCCACACTGCCTTCCCCCACCTGACAATCCCTGGGAAGTCCCAGCTTTTTCAGATGCCTCAGCTGCTTACTATGGCTGTTGTTGGGCTGCTGTGTATGGGACTAGAGCAAGTGAAAGAAATGTAAAATGGGGATTGATTGAGGGGGTTTCAAGGCCCAGGACTGAGATTGAAACCTCTGGAGGAACAGTGCAGAGCTTACCAGGATGGAAAACATACGTAAAATAGCAATCAGGAAATTCATCCCCTGAACTGGGTACTTTTTGGAAGGGAAGGGGAGACCTAGTGGAATGGGATTGGGGCCTGCTTGATGGATAACCCCAATATACCACTGATCTAGTGGCTGGGTTTCTGCCAGTAGCTCCATCTCAGAGAAGCTCTAGTGATTTTTACTTGCAGATTAAGTGATGACAGGTTTTCTGTTGTGGGCTGTGTGTTTCGGTCCTCTCCATTCCTTGCACACCCACTGTCTCACACTCCCACCCTGCTTGTATACACAGGCCTTGTGCTGGAGTTCCTGTGCCAACACTGCCCAAACCTGGTTTTCTTAGCACTATGTTTGTGCTGCAGGGCGTGAGCTGAAGGTGGAACCTGCTGGGCTGGTTCTTCTGTGTACAGTAATAGCTCCACTTCACCTGCACAGGCAGAGATAATGGGATGATTCCAGGCTGCCATTGGCAGGCATTGGGTAGAATGGAGAGCACAAAGCCTTCTGGGATTGAGGACCTGCACCTATCTTCACTGCACCACTCCTTGCTCTTCTGGACAATAGCCTCATGTTACCCAGATAGAAAGAGAGAGAGTCAAAGATGGTGCTGCAGAGAACAAAGGGGTGCTCCTGAGCACAACCCAGACTGGGGTCTCTTGAAGAGGGTACCCAACCACCTCCCTGTGTGCAGTTCTGGCTAGAAATCTTCAGGGTTGATGTGCCCCCAATGTCTAGAATTAGTTGTTTCCACTTAGCACAGAGAGTTCCCCACCTGTACAGCTCATCTCCTATTCTCCAGGCAGGACTCCCAGCACAAGAAGTGGGCACCTGGGATGGTGCACTGGGGACATCAGTGTATGGGGCTGGAGCTTCCCCTCAGGAGCTGTGGCAAGGTATTGCCCCATGGTGAATTCTAACCTTTCCCCCTCTCCTTTCCCTCCAGGGTCCCCACTGTCCCTGTGAAGAACCTGAATGGCTCGAGTCCTGTTAACCCTGCGCTGGCAGGTAGGGCATCCAGATCCAAGTTTTGCTAGGGTCATGGGCTTGTACCATCTGGTATAGCTGGCCCACAGCAGGCCCCTGGGAACAAATTCTGACACTGCCAGAGGAATGGACAAAGGAGGGAACCCACCTGTTTAGAAGTGGAGGGAGCTGTGGGAGGTTCTGGGGAGACCTCTGTCCTGAGGAAAGGTTCTTTGGTGTTGGTATGGGATGAAGTGCAGAACTGGAGACAGGGAGAGGCAACTGATTTACATGAGGGTGGGTTAGAACGCAAGGCAGTGAGACATCTCTGGGTTATATTGCAGCCAGAGAGGTGTGTCAGGGCAGAGCAAGTGGGCACAGGGCTGGTTTCTCAGACCCAACCCTTCTCTCTTTTTCTCTCTACCCTCCATGCACCCCTTTCCCAGGGATCACAGGTATCCTCATGAGTGCGGCAGGGCTGCCCGTCTGCCTCACCCGCCCCCCAAAGCTAGTACTACACCCCCCACCCGTCAGCAAGAGTGAGATCAAGTCCATCCCAGGCATCTCCAACACCTGCCGCAAGACCACCAAAAAACAGGCCAAGAAAGGTGAGTAAGGGTCCAGTCCCTTCCTGTCCCTGTGGGTGCCCCCTCTCCCCATTCTCAGAGGGGGAGCTCTGCCTTGTTCAGTGCAGTCGTTCACCTCAGCTTTAGTGCCTAGATTCTTCCCACCCAGCCCCTCCCCAAGAGTCCACAGGAGCTCTCCTTCACCCCCCGCTTCCTCCCAAACAGCTCTGCTTCACCCCCACTTCCTCCCTTTTCTAGACTGCCTTGTTTCTCTCCAGTGGCCCGTGGTGGGGCTGATGGGTCCATGTGACTTGCGTTCTCATGTACTGTCTTCCTGTCTCTCCCCCAACCCCTGCAGGTAAAACCCCAGAGGAGGTGCTGAAGAAATACTTGCAGAAGGTGCGACACCCACCAGATGAGGTGAGAGCAGTGAAGCCTGGCAGGTGCAGAGGTGCTGGGACTGCTCTGAGTGTGCATGGATGTACACTGTTGCAGTGCACATCTGGGCATGTGTGTGCACGGCACTGCATCTCAGGCAGTGTTGTTCCCATTGAGAAGTGTGCATCAACACCTCATTAGTTTCCTTGCTGTCCCGGCCTAGTGGAGACCAGATCAAAAGGGTTTTTATCTGAGCGTAGCTCAGCCAGATCTGCAGTGCCGCAACCCTGCATCCTGGTGTGACCTTGATGCAATCTGAGTCAAAAGTAACCATAGCTGGACCCCACTAGGGAGGTATGGCATGAGTGCAAGCTCCGATTATTTACTATGCTGACAGAACACACCTCTTATGGAAATGAGAGTGTAGCTCGCATGTGAGAGTATGAGGTGGAGTTGCATGCTGCGTATGTATGAGCATGTGTGTGTTTGTGTGGTGGTGGTGGTATTCTCCATGCAGGTTGGTAGGTTTGTGTGAGGTGGTAAGTGGAGCATGCTGTGTGCAAGTCAATGTGTTTTGTGTGCATATGAGTGGGGCTGTGTCCCAATTGATCTGTGTATGTGGGAGAGAAGTGATGGTGTGTGTGTGTGTGTGTGTGAAAGAGACAGAAAGAAAGGTGCAGTTGTGCTGTTTGTGGGGTAGTCAAGTGTGAAGGGTGCTGCCATGTGTGTGTGCATGGTAGGGTTATGTGCTTAGTGGGTGATAGCCTATTCTATTAGGCGCATAAGTGCAGTTCTGTTCCATGCTGCTTGAGTCTGAAAAACACTTAATGCAGAAAGAGGTTTTCCTCCTCCTCATTGCTTTGTTGCGACAGCCTTAAGGCTAAGATGCCGATATGTTACAAAAGTAGATGCTATGGTGGGCAACATTTTTGGAAGGCATGCCACAAGTTAAGCTTCATTCCCTTCTCAAATACTTCTCTTATTTGGGTGCCCCCCCACCAATGGTGTACCTGATAGTGAATACCATAGGATGCCAGAATGGAGGCGTAATGGGGCTTGAGCCTCTGTCTGGGGTCACACGAAGCAGGGCCATGAGGAGCAGAGCTGGAGCAGGACACTGCTGCAAGAGGAGGTGTTGCTACCATTAGCTAGGTTAACTCTTTCCTGGCTCCCTAACCCACAGTTTTATATGGCTACTGCAGCCCAAGGAAGGGCTAACCATGGAAAAGCATAGAAGGGCTCTTTGTGGTGACACCTGACACCTCCTCTCACAGCAGGAGATGCTGTTTCAGGCAGGACACCTGCTTCTTCTCCAGGTTTAGGCTGTAGACTCTGCTCTCTTCCTCCATTCTCCTGCCTGTCTTTACTGAGCACTCAGGGCTTACATGCCGCATACAGCAGCTGCCCATGCCACTTGTAGTGAATGTGCTGCAGATTGGTCACCCCTGCATTAATGAATTTTCAAGGACTGGTGCAGTGAAGTAAATAGGGATTTATGATTTACTCTCTCTCAATATTAGAACTAAGGGGCATAAAATGAAACCATGGGAAGTAGGTTTTATAACTTACAAAAGACAATTCTGTTTTCACGCAGTAAGCAATAACTTTTGGTACTCATTGTCACAAGAAATTCTGGAGACTGGTAGTTTTAACCCTGCTCAAAAGGGAGTTGGATCAGTTATTGAACATACCCTGTTCATCTGCTCCTCCATCATCTGCTGTCTGCCATTGTGTGAGATAAGATACTGTGATTGATAGACCTATGGTCTGATCCAGTAAATGGGATTTCTTACATTCTTATGGTGAATTACAGTGACATTCAGGTGCCTGAGTCTACTTTGGAGGCCTAATAGGTGGAATAGAATCTGACACTGTCTGTGAGAGAGAGAGGAGGGGATGCACACAGTGTGTGAGGAAGAATTGCTTGCTGGGTATATGAGAAGGAGGGCTAGCCGTCTTCATGAGCATGTGCGCAGTGGAGTTGTGTGTGTGTGTGGAGGGGTTGCTTGTGCACATGTGTCCAGGATGGTGGCATGTTGTGTATGCAGTGGGGCTGTGCACTTTGTGTGTGAGGAGAGATTACTTGCTCATGTGTATACCTCATGCAGCACGCATACACAATGTCTGCAGTATGTGTGAGGAGGGGTTGCTTGCTGTGCATGTGTGCAGCAGGGTTGTGTGATGTGTATGTGTGCTGGTGTGCCATAGGATTTCATGCTGGGTGCATGTTCACAGCTGCTTTCTGTCCAGGTTGGGAGTGAGCTGTGGTGTGACCTGTGTTCTAGGCATCCCCTCGTGCTTGCCCCTGGCTCTTTGCATATATTTATATATCAGGCATGGAGGAAATGGGGCCCTAGCAAGAGGTTTCAGATTGACCAGAGGTATCTGTGCTCCCCATGGCAAGCATGGCTTGGAGATATCCAGCTCCCTCTGGCAGTGCCCTGCCCTGCAGGAACAGAGCTCTGACTCCTGGCTACTTTTTTGCCTTGTCACCTTGACACCACCATTGAAGGGGCAAGTGCTGTCCATTCCTGGTGGTACCTAAACAGATTCCCACCCAGTGCTCCTGTGGGCTGGGTTTGAACCAGCTCCTTCTGACTGACTCATTGCCTGTCCCCCTCAGGACTGCACCATTTGCATGGAGCGCCTCTCTGCTCCATCTGGCTACAAAGGGCCGCAGCCAGCTGTGAAGCCAGACCTCGTGGGAAAGCTGTCCAAGTGTGGCCACATCTACCACCTCCACTGCCTCATTGCCATGTACAACAATGGCAACAAGGTGTGTGTCCCAGTCCACTTCAGCTGCCAGGGGGCCCCTAAGGACTTGGTGGGATCAGATCCTATTGTAGACTCTTCCAGAGAATTGAACAGTGAGCCAGTCAGGTCTGCCTGGGGTTGGATCCTGCCTCCTCATTGATTGTGAGAGCCCTCCACAGTAGGGAGGGAATGCAAGGCATTGTCCAAGTGTGTCCCGTTCATGCTGGACCAGGTGTGTGTGCACAGGCTGGGGGCTAACATCACTTAGCACTTGTCAGAGAGCTTTGATTGATTCTGTCCAATTGCATGGCCGTCTCTTTGAAGATCACTGAGTCAAAGTAAAACAGTCCTCAGTATCAAGCTGTCCAAAGTCTCCATCTCTGGCAAGATGCTGCCCTCTGTTCCTCTTCATGCCCACCCAGAAAAAAAGTATCAAAATCCAAAATATTTTGTCCGATACCCAAAGCATTTAAATTTGGACTTGTGGCTGCGGAGCTACATAGGAGTTGTAGTTCAGTTACCCTTTTATCCCTGTTCTTCTCAGTGTACCAGGCTCCCTCATTCGACTACCTCTCCCAAGATGCACCTTGATCTATGCCAGTGAGGGAGAAGGTTGCATCATGGCTGTGATATGGCCACAATGCACTGTAGGAGATGAACCTGACTGGGGGCATCCCATGGAAAAGAATGGGATCATGAGCTACCCAGTAAGCTACCACCATGGGATGTAACAAAATCAAATAACCATGGACGGTTGCTTTTTTGTTTTTGTTTCAGTGGAAAGCAGTAGACATTCTCCCTCTTCTCCCTCCCCTCCAAAAAAATATATTTAATCAAAAATCCAGCATTGGCGAATGTTTGACCTACTGTATTGATTTGTCCTGCAACCTTGGACTGGTACCTTCCCCTTTCCCTACTTGGAAATGGCAAGATTGTGAATGTCAACCAGTGTTTGGGAGGAAACATGGTAGAAATTTTCTAGGCTCAATTAATATTTTTCTCACAAAAATTGGCTTTTGGAATCAAATACAAGCTTGTATTTCCCACAGAATTTCCCAGTAAATTTAAACATTTTGCTTCTTTTTCATTGTTGTTTTGAGCTGCTCATTTTCCGTAAAGAAAAAGGGATGGAAAATTATTGAAGGAGGGAGGGAGAGGAATAAAAGACGTAAAATTTGAAATGAAGCCTTTGGATTTCAAATTAAACTGCCAAAAGGTGAAAACTTTTGGAAAGAAAGGAATTTAGTTTCAAATTGTGCTCTGAAAAATAGCCATTTTTAACTACTTGGGATACCGAGGGTGTTGCGGAGTTTGTATGATTATAATCTGATAACAGCAAAGGGAAATAAGTCTCCTGATTTAATTTTTTTTAATCTTTTCTATCATCTTTGCTCACTTTCAGGATGGGAGTCTGCAGTGCCCAACCTGCAAAACCATTTATGGGGTAAAGACTGGGACTCAGCCCCCTGGGAAAATGGAGTATCATCTCATTCCTCACTCACTGCCTGGGCACTCTGACTGTAAGACCATCCGCATTATATACAACATCCCGCCAGGGGTCCAGGTGAGACACCTGCTCTGGGGAGACACCATGGATGGGGATGTCTGCCTCTTCTGTGAAGGGAAGTCCCATTTATTCATGCACTGTCCTTGTAATCCCTGCCCCATGGCAGGTTTCCTGGGTGCTCTGCCTAGCTGTGACTCAGTTTTTGCTGGTGGGAAGATCATACCAGCAAATGAAGCAGCGGCCACCTGTGCTTGGTGGTGGCATGTGCCATAGAATCATCCTTGCTTGGGCAGGCTACTAGCTTGGGGGCCTTGACAGCTATAGGAGACAGGATGTAAGGGGAGCTCAGGGTAACACCAGTTCTGCAATACTATTTCCCCAAGCAATCCCCTCCCCCAGCAGCACCTGGAGGCAGAGATGAACTGATGTGGCCAGGTGCCTGGGGTAACTGCTACACACGGGGCGGCGGTGAATTCTGGTTGTTGCCTCACTGCCAGCATGACTTTACATCTGTGGCAGCAGCTGTTCCTTCCACTCTCCCAAGTTGTCTGGCCCAGTCACCCTGCCCTCGTTATGCCACTGCCTGGAGGGTCACCCTCCATGAAAGATGTAAGGTTCTCAACTGGGGTGCTGCTGTAGTAGCCACTGCAGCCAGGTAAAACTGCTCTGGAAACTTCCCGTGCATAAAGGCTCTAATCAGCCTAAAGCAGGCAGCAAAGCTGCCTTGTGCTGTGCAGCTCTTTCTGATCTGCCCCCTTCCCCCCCTCCCTCCCCCACCCCTTCGCTTCTTCTGGAAACAGACATGGGTGAAACTATCCCATCTGCTTTTGTTTCCGAGAGGAGAATTGGGGGTGCCAGACGACATGCTGTGCAGAAATAGCTGCACAGCATGTGGCAGCTCCTGCCTGCTTCAAGCTGATCAGAGAGCCCTAACATGGGAGGAGTGCTTCCCAGGCTGGCTGTGCAATGCAGGGCAGTTTCATCACAGTTTCACAGCCGTTCCCAGCTGCAGAACCCAGCTGAGATGCACTGAGGTAAGCTGAGGCAGCACCAATAGAGGTTCTCAGCATTAAAGAAGTGGTGGTGGGGTGCCCTGACCCTGAAAAGATTGAGAGCCAATAGTGTAAGGACCCATTGATTGATTCAGCAGTATGTAATATCGGCACAGTAAACCTTGCAGCTGCCTTTTCTGGCTTATACCAGCAGGAGGCACTACAGTGACATGAGTTTAGCTAGATCTTGTAGGCCATAAGGCACACCAGGAAGAGTTAAAATCTGGAGGCCTGAAGTGCAGAGTGCATCAAAACATTTGAGATCTGTTCAAGAACATCTTGAAATTGTTGGATTCAGTATCAACTGCAAAAATTGGTAAAAGCACATAGGATGGCATGATCAAACCTGAAACAATATATGCATAGCAGATATTGCTGTAATCAAATCAGTTGAATTAATCAGGAAATTGTAAAGGTGCATGGCACCAAACGTGATTGATCATGAGGAAAGCATGAAAAATGATGCAACTAAAACTTAGTACAGTAGAGATATTAAGGATAACTATAAAGATCATTAATATGCATGCATGATTTCAGCACTTAAGCATATAATAAGTTTATACCCACTGACTAGCTACTCTGTGCTTATCCAGACTGTGTTGTAGTAGGACATAGCAGGTCCTTGGAGGCAACAACATATCTTAATCCTTCTCTCAAGAGCCCAAAGGAATCCCATTTTTTCTCTCTCTTTCTCTTTCTCTCTAGGGACCAGAGCATCCAAATGCTGGGAAAAGCTTCACGGCACGTGGCTTCCCTCGACACTGTTACCTCCCAGACAGCGAAAAGGGCAGGAAGGTGAGGGGATGTCCTGGCCTCCATTGCTGCTTCCCTGGGGTAACAAAGGAAAGGACAGGGACTTTTTCTCCATAGAAAAGGCTGTTAGGGCTGTGTTTTTCCAACAGGACTGCCTGGTTTGGAGAGGGACAAAGCCCAGGTAAATTCAGTAGATATAGCTAACAGGCCAGATCCTTGTGCACCACTAGTAACCCAGATGCTCTGTATCTGTGCCACCACAGTTAAGTTATGCTGATTTCCCCTTTACCATGTCCTGCAGAGTTGAGAGGAGGGGGAGTAATTAGCAGGGAAGGAATCCAGGACTGGATTCCTCTGAGCCATGAGGTCCAGGCCTCTGCCTTCATGGGCATCCATTTGTCTGGAATGGCCAACAAGATGTCCACCCCTTCTCATACAGAACAGCCACAAAGTACCAATGAACAGGCCATGGTTAAAGTGGGGTTGGAGGGTTACTGTAGCTATGATTGTCCAAGAAATATGTGAGAAGCAAGGGTTTTTGGTGATATCTTTTATTGGACAAATTGCATAGTTGGGAGAGGTTAGACAAGCTTTCAGGCACAAAACTACAAAGACCTGAAGAAAAGTATTTTGTGCCCAAAAACTTCTCTAACTAAACTGAAGTCAGCCCTTACTCTAAAGTTGGTTCAATGAAAGGTATTACCATAAAACCCTGAGTTAAGAGCAGGAGAAACAAATCTGCTGCTGATTCCTTGCCTGTGCAACAGCAGGGAATATGTTGGATTAAAGTAGGCTCATATGATTTTAGGACTGGCAAAAAATGTATATCTGTGTCAGTCAGACCTAGGTGGAGGAGGAAATCCCACCTGACCGCCAATCTAGCAATTGGTTTGTCCTGAGCACATGAACAAGATCCTCCAGCCAGGTATCAGAGAGGGGAGCATGACTCCATCCTGACTTGTCTCCCATGTCTCACTGTGGCCAAAGGCCAGTGCTTCAGTAGAGGGCAGTAAAAATCCTCAGAAGGCAAATGATGCATTTTGGTGGAAAAAAGTTCTTCCTGGCCCTTACTAATGACTGGCACAAGTCCTGATGCTTGAAGTAAGTCTGAGGTCGCTAGGATGGATGTTGTTCTGTGCCTGGTGAGGGGTGTAGTTTAGACCAAAAAAACTCTAGAGACACAGGGTTAGATTCTGTCATTCTAGGGATGTTGGGACAGTCTGGATTAGCACAGCAGTTGTCTTTCACAGACCCCCAGTGGTGTCCTACTGAATTGTGTGTCCCCATCGTGACATCCCATTGACATAGGAGCTTTAGTTTTAACATGCATCAGCACCTTTTACATGGTCTTCTGAAAATAATTCATGGTCCAAATAACTTGCCCTTTCCATGCTATGTCTATCAGATCATTCCAGAAACTCCTGGCTCATTTGGGAACTTCCCACACTTCCTGCCTTATGCATTTTACAATATGCTGGGTCCTTTTATCACAGAGATAGGCCATCACATGGCATCACATGGACCTTATCGTATAATTACAATACCAGGAGGTTTTATGGGACTCAGTAGGAAAATAAACTCTGCTTTTTACAGTTACAGAGTTAAACTCTGATTTTTACACTGCTTCTTAATTTCCCAATGACAGTGTAGAGTTCCATCCTGCAAACTCATCATTGCCCTTATAAACATTGCTATGGGAGGCAGATTGAGCTTTAGGAGGAGTATATAAGCACATCACCTGACTGAGTCTGAGTGATCAGATAAGGAATAACTGACGACGCACTGTCTACAGGCTCAGGCCCAAGGTGAGATAGTCACCCAGCTGTGTCTCTCCTGTGCTTTTCACTTCTAGGTGCTGAAGCTGCTGCTGGTGGCCTGGGACCGGCGCCTCATCTTTGCCATTGGTACATCCAGCACCACAGGCGAGTCAGACACAGTGATTTGGAATGAGATCCACCACAAGACGGAGTTCGGTTCTAACCTTACGGGCCATGGCTACCCTGATGCCAACTACCTGGACAACGTGCTGGCTGAACTGGCAGCCCAGGGCATCACTGAGGAGAGTGTAGCCCAAGAGAAGGACTGAAAACAGGGGGAGGGGATCCCATGGCAGAGGGTGAGGCCTTTGCCAAGCCACGGCCCTTAACAACATCTCCTCCTTCTGTCCCTGTGTGCGCTGTCCCTCCTTTCACTTCCTCTGCCTGCCATAGCCACCCCCTAGCTCTGAAAGCACTGAAAATCTGGCTTGCAGGGGGCTGTGGAGGAGAAGGAGCCCCTGATCTTAGTATCTCCCTCCCCCCACACACAGTACTTCATTAACTGGAGCATCTGTGGATTGGGACTGCTCATTGTTTGGGGGCAATAAGGCCCCCAGTATGGCCACAACTTCTGAGGTTATATTGCCCTCAGTTTGCTATCAGCTGTTAGCACTGAGCTCTCGCGGAGGGGAGAGGGACTGAACTTGCTAAACTCTGTGAAAACTAATTGCCTCATGGGGGTGTTCCAGCCACTGGCAAGCACTCTTGTCCACGTAGCTCCAGTACCACTCAGGAGCCAAGGAGGCTTCTCACAAAAGCCACTGGGGGGACAGGATTCAGAACTAGCCCTAGTCGTCTCATTCGGTCAGGATGCTGGTTTTGTGTTGTCATGTCACTGCTGCTTTCATTGTGTGGACTCGTGAGTTGGGAATGTGCTGTTTGCAGGTCTGGTATTGCCCCCTTTGTTCCACCTCACCCTCCCATTTACTCATAGCCAGGCCTGGCTCTCTGATCCTATTCCCAGTCTGGATCTGAGTTATGCCTTGGGGAAGTGGGGTAGAAATCTCATCTCTTTGATACATTCCAAATTGGACCAAAACCAGAACTAGCTGCATCCTCTTTTCACAGTGAGTGGAGCAGAACCAATTCAGAACTAGTTTAGAACAAGTCCAGCCTTCTCAACTATGTCCAGGGAAAGTGAAAGGGAAACTGCAACCTTCCGTCTCCTGGATCTGTTACTGGCTGGATCCGAAGTCTGGTTCTTAAGTTTACTTCGAATTATCCCAGAACTATGTCTCAGCCCTTTCTCGGCTGTCTATAAGTCTATAAACTGTGCCCCAGGGAGTTGTTTTATGTGGTCCATTCCTGTTGTGGATCAGAACCAGTAGAGTTGAGTTGGGTGGGATGGGAGAGAGTCTTATTTCCCTGTGCTCCCTCCTCCCTCACTAAAGTGGGTTCTTTGAACTGTGTGTGTGGGGGAGTCCCCCTGAATACTGATTGGAATTTATATACCTCATGTTTGGGGGATTTGTCGTATATATTACGTCATGTTTGAAAAGGACGGTGACGTTAGGATGCTTAAATGAAACGGTACTTAAGTTAGACCTGGAGGCTAAGTCTGCTGGTGTTTGCCATGGCACAGGTTTGAGACTCTCTGGATTGCCATCTTGAAATGGAGACACCATGTTTTGCTGCCCATGTTTCAAATTGGCTGCCAAGTGCACCTCAGAAAGGTGGAAAAAGAAAAAATGCCCCATCCCACCCATTAGTGTGACCCATTAGTAGCACTGCTTCCAATGTGAAGAATTTCTGTCCTGAGATTAACATTCACTTCACACTAGCGCAGGCTGGGGGTATTAGCAACAAACTATCCTTGTGGTTAGACCTGATGGTGGTCTAACCACATGGTCTAACCACAATCTAAATGAGAGATTGCTAGCATTTATGCAGTGGTTTTAAAGGCACTGTTTGGCCTCCTTGGTACTGCCATCTGGTGGCTTCTCTGGTACCTCATCACAGGTGAAGTAACTCCCACAAGGGTGTTCTCTGGGGCAGGGGCAGGTATGTTTGCACCCCACAGAACATCCTAACATCTCTCTTGTCTTATCCTGTAGGTCTCTTTACCAGTTTAGGGGCTTGTCCTGAGACCCTTGTGAAGTCTCTGTGGGTGGGAGCCGGGGAACGGGGCAGGTGGTACATGCAAATGGTAGATGATTGGGTCGGGTGAGGCAGGAAGGGGTGCGGTTGGAGTCATGATTGTGGGCAAGGTTCATCAGAACAGTGGTAGGAGAGTAGGATTCAGGGGAGCTCCACAGACTTCATAAAGCCTGGTAATTCCACTGTCTTGCCTTTGCAAAGATGTCTTCATGGTTTCTTCTCTAGGGCAATGGGTCACAGCCTTTTTAGACTTCAGGCACTCCTCACTAAACTGAAGGCACCCCACAGAAAATGTCATCTCTTATGTTTCATTCATTTTTCTGACTCTAGAAAAATAATAGAACAATTCTTTGCAAAGAATTGCAAAAAACTCAAATCACAACTGGTCAGAATGCTTTTTACACTGTGAATTCCTATTTGGAATCTCTGAGTTTATCATGTAGGTGTTTGCACTGCAGTGTCCTGGTTGAGAATCTCTGCCCTAGGGGCTTACTGAAAACAGACCATCTCATCCTGCCCTGGAAGTGAACTCCAGAGCCCCCCCAGCTCCAGAGTTCTCAGCACAGGGCTCACACTTGTCCTATGGGTGCCCAAAAGCCACCCCTGTAAAAACCTCAAGCACTTCTTAGCTACCAGGGTGGGAAATGGTCCTGCTCTTGTAAGCTTCCTCTCTCTGCATCTCAGCCCCCTACCCCAGACTCCCCATCCTATGCCCCCCTCCCCCACCCCATCAGCATCCAGCTAGTTAGTCTCACACTACCCTCTACCCCTAAAAAGAGGAGAAAATTCCTTTAAGGACCAATAATCCCCTTCCACCATCCCACAACCAGTGTGCTGCCTTCAGCATGACTTGGCTTCCAGGGTAGGTGACGGGGTTGGCGAGTATCCTCCAGGCCCCTTGGATGTCCCTCTCTGCTGAGGAGTTATGGGGAGAGAGGTGTTCATTGTCCGCCCCCCAACAACACACAGATTTTGTTTTGTTTTGTTTTGTTTAATTTCAAACTGTCTGTGGTTGGTACGTTCTCCAGAAGACCCAGCCTGTAGCAGCATTGGTGGGAGTCAGCAGGGCACGGGGTCTTGTTGTGTGTCCTCGTTGCGTTCAATGCAAGGTGTGTGGTGGTGGTTGGTGTGTTTGGGGGAAGGGTGGGGGGTGGGGGAAGAGGGAAGTGTCCTGCTGTATATTGTTTTTTTTTCTTTCCATTTGTTTGTGAACGGAGCATTTCGCCCGTCTCTGGTTCGCTGCCATGTGAAAGGACAGCACTGCAGAATAATAAATGGGGAAAGCCCTCCTGTCGGTCCAGAGGGCATCCACTGTCTGTGTTTCCCTGGCCTGTACATGTCTTTTGTTAATTGTTTGTGTTCCTAGAGCCGGAGTATGTGTGACATCCCCAGATGGAAGAGCCCCTTCTCAGGGAAGTGACATGGGTACAACCCTAGGGCTACTGGGAAGTTTGTGAAGCCGATACTTCCTGCCATAGCAGCAAGCATAGAATTGACAGGGAGTTTTAACTCATGCTGCTCTAGAGAGAGAGAAATTCATGTGGCATTAGCTGTTGCAAAATATTAAGAAAGGGGTGGGACCCACAGAGTGAGTCAAAATACTCATTTGCTGGGTCTGCCTGGGTCAATGATGTCTTCTTAGTTGGTAGGGAGAACTTAGTTCCCTGCACCTCAGAGACATGGTCTTTGCTTCTCTCATGTCCCCTTCTCTCTTTTGTGTTGAAAGCTCATTTTTAAATTATCTCATTGCTGTTCAAATATGAAGTTGATCTTCCCTCAAAGATCAAAATGAGTTGCACTGACTTCTTGTCCTGGAAACCTGGGATTATATCCCTGCTTCTGAAGGAGCAGTGGCAATCTATGCAAAATCCTTTGATCAAGGTACCTGCTTACCTCACACTCCACTGACGTGCTGGATTTCATATTTACCATACAACAATGATATATTTTTTACAATCACTTTTAATGCCTTTTCAGCTGTGCTGTTAACTGTGGGATGCAATAAAAAATAGACAAGATGCAGTGGTCTATACAGTCTAGCCACCTGGCTGTGGTTTATAGAGAGAAGTTAGTGGCTGACCCAGGACATATCCCCCCCCTCCCCTGTCCCCCACCACACATTGCTGTCTGGACAGTATTGGTCACTTACCAATGGCCCCTCTCTCCTTCCCACAAGTGTGACAAAATATCTGAACCCTCATGCACAGGCCTGGGGAGGGTTGCTCTTACTAGCTTTGTTTGAGTTTGGGTGTGGTTGAGTGGAGACAGGATTTGCACCCTGGAGGGAGGGACAGGAAGCTTCTGGTTCTGCAAAGCAATGGGAAAAAAAGTGGGGAAGCTCAGGGCTACCCTCTTCTTTGCTGGATGAGGGGTGGGACTCAACTCTGTCCTGTCAGGCTGAGGAGAGGGCTTCATGGCTCTGCCTGGCAGGGTGAGGTGGGAGAGATTGGGGGGGGGGGGGGGTCTTTGGGTGTCCGCCGGGGG